AAACACACATGCCGTACCACCATCGTTCTGTGCACCTAACTGCATTTGTCTCTGTGAGCAGGGCGCGGAGCCACTTTGACTGTCCATAAACGTCGTGAGCACGCGAAGGCAAAGTTATATATATGTACACTGTCGGCACCATCAACACCATCGGCACCATCGGCACCATCAACACCACTGCATTGCACTTCGCTCAAATCGCTGGCTTCACTGACTTCAAGAGCGGCAACTGCGGCATGCCTATCCTTGTCTTCTGTATTATCTAATTCTTTTCTAAGTGTTTTTGGGGCATTGCGTCTGCGGAGTTTTGCTTTGGTAAAGAATGAACGAATGCCCCGTTGACCTAAGTTGAATGCAACAGCGGGCCGTCTCATGGTGATATTATCAAATATCTTATATATAGATAGTGTATAAGCTCCAAATGGTCAGCTATAAGTGTGCAGAAGGCATTTGCGGCGACTTATGGCCGAAGTAATGAACCAGCACGGCCACTGACCCAACGATTCCATTTCTTCCAGGCTCAGACCCCCATTTATTCCCAAAAAGTAATATATTACAAAAAAACACTGCTTCACAGTCGTTCTGGCCGCTATATAGCTCACCTGGGCGAAGAAGTTGCACATGAGCTCGTCGTGGTTTGACACGACCTCGCCCTTGAGGTACACGGACTGTTGGCTCCGTACGATGCCAATGAACTCGCAAGGGATAACGCGGCCCTGGTGAATCAGCTGGTAGAACGAGTGCTGGCCGTTGGTGCCGGGCTCGCCTGCGGAAGGCGCGTCGACATAAAGCAAGACAATTAAACCATGGATCACATCAAACTCGACGCGCAGGCGGCGCCTGAGGGCCAACCTCGAGTCCATTAACAAGCTCCCCAGCACACTCGCCAATCCACGTGTGCAAAAATGTAAAAAAAAACTAAAACATAGAACACGATTGTCACCCATTCGCATTTCCTGTTGCGGCTCAACTGCGTCCGTGCTGCTGGCTGCTCACCGAAGTCAATCTCGCCAGTCTCGAACGGCAGGCGAACACCGTTGATGTCCACGCCCTTGCCGTTGGACTCCATGTCCACCTGCTGAATGTGCGGGGCCAGCTTGGACAGCGCCTGTCGGGACGAGGACAACGCATGGGAGAAAGCTATGTTAATGTCCCTGCCCTCAATTCCAGGTCTGCACGTGCAGCAGGTTACGCTCAACGCCACCTTAATCGACCTGTTCCAAGCCAACAGGCATGGTCCCGCCATGGGTTTCTCCTTTTCCACATTTCAAAGCGGTCCTAGTGTCAGTTCGTAGTGCTTTGTACTTGGCTGCCAAGCTTCCATATCGCGCCCACCTGACAGTAAGGCAGGATGGCCTTGGCGCCGTAGCCCAGGAAGGACACGTTCCAGACGGACAGCAGGCCAATCAAGACCGGCAGGTTGTCCTGGTATGGCAGGTTCTTGAAGTGCTCATCCATGTTGTTCGCACCAGCCAGGAACTCCTGTGGTTGGGAGCCCAAATGAGAGCGCCTTGATAAAAAGTCAAGCGGCTGCCGTTTCATATGATGCGACAGGCATAGATTCTGAAACAAACAAACAGGCTATGCTGAGGAAACGCTGGGGAACCAACGTTGCCATTACCAGCTTAGTCGCACACCAGTGGCAGTGTATGCAACAGGGCTGAGCCACAACGAAATCGCTAGATCGCAAGGGTGAAGGCAAAGCCCAATGAGGGGAGGTTTCACTGACCACCTGTTATCCGGCGCACACGAACAGCATTTTCATCGCGTCACGTTATTTCTACATAACGACGCATAACACCTGCGTCCTCGTAAGAACAGCTTCTATAGCGCTACCCACCCAATACATATGGAACCACGGCCACTACTACCCCTTCACCGTTGCAGCCAATGCTCACCTGCATGATGTCGAAGCCGTACTGCAGAGACAGCGGCAGCATGCCCACAGCTGAGCAAACTGAGTAGCGTCCGCCGACCCAGTCCCAGAAGCCGAAGGCATTGTCGGGGTCGATCCCAAACCTACGTTTTGCCAAAACAGGCAACAGCATGCATTACTTGAAGACATCCCAATGAAACGCGCAGGAGTCAACGGTATCGGGAGAAAGGCGTGCATCGCGGCGCACGCGAGCAGCAATTCCGGTGCATCATAGCGGCGCATCATGAATGCAAAGCAGCTCACGGCAAAATGCGCAAGACGACTTACTCCTTCACTAGCTTGGTATTGGTAGAGACAGCGACCATGTGCTTGGCGACCGCGTCAGGACCTGCAAATGCCGTGAAGTTCCAGTAACACGCCTTGAGATCACAAGTGAATCTGTACACCGAAAGCTCCCAAGACCATTCAGGCACATGCCTTATAACCGACATCATGATGGCAGCACGTCACTCCGTTACCATGCATCAATGAGCCAGAGCCCTGACCCAATAACCAAATTTAACGAAACCAATCGGCTTTAGGTCCCCAAAAGCAACATCAGCGCGCTCTTCTGCCAATACCATTTCAGGCATCTCATTTGCGCGTCCCCTAAACATAAAGCGAGCTTAAATACTTACCCAAGCGCTCAATGAGCCAGCTGCGAACGGTGCGCGCGTTCAGCATGGTCTCCGCCGTGGTAAAGGTCTTGGAAATGACCACTACCAAGGTCTCCTCGGGGTCCAGGCCATCCAGAGCGCGCGCCACGTCAATGGGATCCACGTTCGCGAGGAAGCGCAGTGTGCGGTCGCGGCTGGCGCGCATGGCGTTCGGCTCCGTCCTGTGTGGACATGCATGTTGCAGCATGAAGACTGAGTGTGGGCAGTGATGCTAACGGTTTTCCTGGCGGCCATGGCAGCTTCTAGAACTCGGACCCAAATCGAATGCGCGGCATCCTGCGACCAAGTCTGAGTGCAACCCCGCACTCATAATGTGCACATTCCTGAGGAAATTTCGTGTGCACCGGAGATCCCATGTCTTGACATGTTTGCAACCAAGCGGGAGGCTGGCCACCTGGTATCCAAGCGTACCTCAGAGCGGTGTGGACGAAGAGGGGACCCAGGAAGGAGCCGCCAATGCCAATAGCAACCACCTTCTTGAGCGGCTTGCCCGTCACGCCCACCCACTCGCCGTTGCGGACCTTATCCGAGAAGGCCTTGATCTTGTCCAGAACCTCCCAGACGTCCGGCACCACATTGCGGCCATCAACCATGATTTTCTGTAAGGGAGGATGCCGTAGAAAAATCGCCGCAAACATCATAGAGAATCATCAGTAGACAGCTTCTATGAAAAAAATGCCGAAAGGCAGGAATACGGGAGGTGAGGACACAGCCGTCCCGGCATAATCCACTTCCAGCGCCGGAATGCTTAAGCCAGCACCGGTAAATAGCAGCTCCATACAGATACCCCACGGACTCATACGGCGGTAGGTGGGTGGGTTCACCTGCGTACCGCACGGCGGTACATGGCGCCAGACGAACACCCGAGGTCGACTTCTAGGATAGATGGAAGCTCTTGTTTACGAAGGGTACACGTTGCCTGAAACATGATCTGCATTTGTGATTGTCTCGTACATTCTCCTTCAACTCTGCTTTATGTTTCCTGCCTATTGTTCATCTGCCCATCTATTTTGTAACCCATTCGTTGGCTTCCGTGGCAGTGTACAAGTATTTATATGCTCTCGATAGAGTACATCCCTAAGTGCCTCCCACGAACTCCGCCCGGGTCAGTTGCGAACAATATCTAGACCGCCCACCTGGTTGCGGTGTGCACGGGTGGCCACATGCAGGACGGCGCGGTCCTCGGTACTGTTGATGTGTTCACCGTTGAACATGGCATTGATCTTGCCACGCAGATCGCTCTGCTCGGCAAGCTCGTACAACAGCTACAGAGCATACAGGCAGAGGGACACGGGGGTAGTTGGATGCAAACTTAGCCACCTCTTGCGGGCTACGTCAGCTGTGTACTGATAAGGACAACCAAACCATTCTAACTCGCACATATGCTGACGCGAAGTTTGAACTTTGACCGTGCAACAAGAAGGCCATGAACCTTAGGGCAAGCAGGGCAAAATGGAGGAAGCCCGCTTGGGCTGTAGTGCTTACTTCGAGCGTGCGCTGCGTCACACGCTGACGCGTGAAGTCGCAGTAAATGCCCTCCGATTCCTTGATGAGGGCCATGCACCGCGCCTCGTCGTGCAGCAGGTCCCGAAGATGACTGCGAAAAAGAAAGCGCGCAAACATCAACGGCCCAAGGTCAGCAGTAGCAAAACATAGAGAACCCGCAAGAAGCGCTCTTATCCTAGTCAGTAAGCAAAACGTGATGGACGACCATCCCAAGCAGGATGGAATGACTGAGGCGCATTGAAGACCGACACCAGCGGAGAACGAAGGCTTCCGCAACAGGCAGCCCCAGTGCGTCGCTAGTTGCGACGTCCATCATCATTACAGATCATTATCGATATCCATAACATATAGACTATCGAAGCAGACGCAGGGGCAATTCATATGGCAATGCCATGAAACGTGATCATGCAGTCCGTCGCGAGCCGCTGTTAGGTAACCCACGTTTTCTCTATGTCGCCTACATGCTCCTTGAGAGCCTGCCAAGCAGGCAGCTCATTCACCAGGGATCCTTTCTTCTGTGCCTGTGCCTACGAACAACACGGGCTCCCATCAGTGAGCTCTAGGGTTCACCGCAAGACACAGCTTTTCCAGTAAGTTAGCAACATGGCAACGATCAATAACAAGCGGTTTCTAAGCATTGGTTGCCGACGGCAACCACGACCAATGTGCATTTTGCAAAGATAAAACACATGATACGTAAGAAGCAGAACTTACGTGAAGCATTTTAGCAACCGAAGCAACAACGTTGCGGTGTGCAGAAGACGACCTGCATCGCGAAATCGTGGGTGATAAGCCAAGGACTGCGTGACCATCAGTACCATGACCAGTCAAGATAGCCGTGCGATGGTCTTTACATCCGCTATAACCCAGAGGAGAAGCAAAAGATTACACCATGCTGTACAGCTGCTGGAGCACCTCCCACTTACTCCGGGATGACAACCGAACCGCTTGGGCCCCTCCCGACAGGAAGAGGGCGGATACCAATGCGTGGGGCAACTCTGGAAAGGAACGGCACGCCTACTGTCAGGTGATTCTGAGATGCGGTATGATGCTTTAAGGACTTCATGGCGGGTAAGGGTCGGATAAGGTCTATGTTGGACGCCGGGCCCGTCCCTCTCAATGCCCTTGATATGTGTAATAATACACCTATGACTTGATTGACACCTGGGAAGGTAGTGCTTTAAGGCCCGTTCGATAAGGTACTGCACAGCCATACAGCACGGACCATCTTGAGATTACGATAAGTTGCATCGTGTCCCATCCAGTCTCAATAACGACTGGTTTAAACGAAGATAATACTTACTTTCTTAATAGAAAGCGACACACAGCCGTGACCATCGGACAGTTCATCATACCCTTCAGCAAAGACGCGACGCTGCTTTTCCAACTTGCCGCAACACTCAAGAATTGGGATTGCCTCAGGTAAAAACACGCCTCAAGGAGCCGGGGGACTCGCACTGCGGTATGGGTTCAGGGATGGCAGATGCATGGTCACGTTTTACAGGGCCGGCTGCGCACTGATTTCCAGGCAGAAATGGTTAGTCGGGTTTTTGGCTGCGGCAAGGCGGTCCAAACCCAGCCCGCTAGGGTTTCGATGAATCCTGATGTGGGGTAAATTTACCAGCTCGCCAAGTTCTCAAAATTTTACGCTAACGAACGTCCATGAGTCGCTGAAGTCCGAAGCCGGTCGTCCGAACCCGATACGTTTCGATCGGGCGTACACGCAACCAAACAGACTGCCGGACCATCTCAGCCTGGACACCAGTGCGCAGCCGACCCTGAGAAACGTAACCGGGCATCTGCCATCCTCTCACCCACATAGCAGTGTGAGTCCCCCGGCTTCTTGATGCGTGTTTTGCCACGTTTCACGCGCGGGTGGTTGTCTAAGTCAACGCTGCCAGGGCTGGGGTAGAAGCGGCTTGTGCAGCACTGCCAACACAACTATTGTTCAATAGAGGGGTCCCTAGTTCGCGGGTGCCTTTTCTTAGCGGCAGAAGCGTTGAGCAGGTTTCAGGTCGATGACGGTTCACAAGTTCGCTCAGGTCACGCCACAGCCAAAGTCTCGCATCTGTGGCCTTGCCTTACAGCCTGAAGCAACTCACACAAGGCACAGGGATTGGGCTGGCTCGCGTGCACTGGCACCATATCGTGAAAGAGCAAAAGCGCGGTGAGATCGATCAATGGACGCGAAAGGGCCGGTGCTTGATTTACACCATCACACCCAGCTTCGTAACGCAGCCGTGGGCGGGCCTAGCATGCGAACTTGTCCAACCTCGATGTAAAAGCTGTCCACTCTCTCGCGCTCTATGAGCCCTTCCATTACTTAACTACGGGGTCGGATGGAACTCAGACAAGGGCCGTAATGACTCTGCTTGAGGACAACACTGCTTAAATTTCTAGTTAAACGTTTTTAGTTTCTTTGGAAGGCCTGACATCCATATTCCGGGAGGGCAGGCAGCAAGCCGCACAACGCGTTAGATCCGCCCGTAGAGGCATATAATCCCGCCTTTCCGCCTGGTCGTCGCCTGGTCGTCACTACTTGGTGCCTCCCCATGGCTGGCCGTGCACATCAACCGGCTTCTCCAGCTTTCTCAGCTGAGGAACGGACCAGGGATACTCTCGCACCAAGGCCCATTCCACGGGCCGCCCAAAATTCTTCTGCAGGAGCCCAGGCCACCAGGCAACAGACGGTCAGGGAGAGCCGGGGATTCCCCGGCCACGAAGGTGCTTGGGCCAAACGTTCATGAGAGGACTTCAAGGGGCAAATGTGGGGGCACCTGTGCAGGCAGGCCAAAGGCCGGCTACATGGTTTGGTGGTTGAATCATACCCTATTCGTGGTTAGGAGGACAATCATGCCAGACTGCTCAGGTACGCGGTAAGTATCGCAATTATGTCCCTAACCTAGCTTGTGGCGTCCAGGCTCTTGCGCCTCTGGCTCGTATGGGCTCGCTGCACCTCTCCGGGTGACACAACCGAGGTTCAACATATACACACACAGACACACTATTACTAGCTCCGACGCCCGTGTAGCCCAGGTAATGACAGGTAATCGTTCAGGCCTCGGTGCTACTAATTACCGTCCATCGGCGTCCCCTACCTGTGACTTGCTTCCTTTCTTCAGTTGGTCATTCCGTCAGTACATCAAGCCTACTGACACAAGTATAAGCGTACCTTGAAGCCATCGGTGAAGGCCCGCTGCGCCTCCTTAAACTCCGGAGTGGAAAAGCTCAGACGTGGGTCCGCATCCTTGGTCATGTCTTGCAGCTACACAGCCAAACGGGCAAAGCATGGTGGGGACGCTAAGGCTCGGGGAGAAAGGGTATTTTCGCGGCTCCGTCCGCGGCTTCAGGCAGGTCTGGTTAAATTCAATCCAATGGTGGCGGGCAAAAGACCCCTCGCCAGCCACACCATGTTGGCATTGCCAAACAGCCAACCCAGCCACACCACAGTGGTTGGGGCGCCTCCCGACACAAAAACCTAAACAACGCCCATTCTGTTTCAGAACAATCTCTTCTCAGTATACGGCACGACAGCCAGATAAGAACAATGCAGCAGTCACGATGGAAACAATGGTTTCGGTCCACTGAAATGTACCCTGAGTGCCGTCCTGCAATGCACGTTTCCTTCCCACGTGTAACCCTATCCATGCAGCCTGCAGGGTTCCCGCACGTACGTACGCGCCGCCCTGGCTCAACTGCCGTGTCCACCAGTCCACATGCATGCCTTTGGGGACCTTGTTGCATTAAAGGGCCTTAGGGAGTTTGAAATGATAATGTCCACACCGATTCCAGCACCACCGCGGCACAGCAGCCAACACCAGGGTGAAGGGTGCATGCCAACACCACATTGCGCTTCAACCACAGCCGAACCCAATCCAGCCCACAGCCCATCAGCGAAACAGTCAAGCCAACCTTCTTCAGCTGGGAGCGCATCTCAGACAGCAGCTCCTGTTGCTCCCGGTCTCCGGGGTCAGCGCGCCGTTCGAAGCCCTCCTGCAAGGCCCCCCACATATGATAAAAAAACGATTCAAAAGGAGGAAGCGCTTTTTCACGCCATGCCATGCCATGCCATGCCACGCCATACCACGCCCTGCATGCTCCACAGAAGATGGGCTGGCCTTCACGGTCGGCATGGGGCCAGAGCCTGGAACAGTCGACCTGGCCTTCCCGAAGAGGCTTTCCTCCCTTTGCTGTTCCGTAGCCCACCTACCAGGCTCTCCATGGTGCAGTGCGAGAGCACCTAAGGTACCGTAGATCTTGTGAGCCTTGTACGGAGTAAGGCACGCTCAGGTCGCCCTATTTTCGCCTGAAAGAACGAAGTGCTGTGCAATTGAACGTCGAAGATGCCGTGCGTTGCTTCCTTAGAGCTAATGATCTAAAGAGGATTACAAGGAGGTGGAGGAGGAGGAGGAGGAGGACAAGCAGGACGATGGTAGTACTGTCGATTTGTCCGACGTTTTTACGCGCCGTTGGCCGCCCCAACTGAAAGCCGGCCGCAGGGGTGACATACGGTAGGTCCCACCGGCCGCTAGCCAGCTGGAACGATCCGAGAGGATCCGAAAAAGCCCTCCGGCCGCAGTTTTGTGGTACGACCCTACCTGGCGTGCATCGATGTATCGATTTGGATTATCCGAGGAAATCAGGGTTATCATAGGACAACAAATCGATGACGGCTGAGATGACAGAATGGAACAGGTTGCGGTTGTTACGGCAGTGGACCCCGATGGCGAGGGTAGTGGGGTCGAGAGCAGCGCTCAAGGAGCGCCTCCCGCACAACACCGTGGGCCTTATTCAACCAGAGCTCGGCCAGGCCGCAGTAATTTCACTGGACCAAAAAACTTCAGTTCGTAAGCTTAAATATAAAATATTGGGCTCAGACGATAGGTCTCAGGAGAGCAATGAGCCAGTGCCCACCTGCCGCCTTTGGGCGCGGTGGGGAGACCAAATATGAGTAAGTTCCGCTAAGGTGGGACGCACTTCCGCTGCCCACTGACAAATGTACTATCAAAGACTTTCAATAATGGAAATTGTATTCTCTGGTTCGGCCCTTATAACTTCGTAAGGTCCATAATGAAGTACAATAGCGATCGATCTCGACCCGCAAGCACCAAACGCAAGTACGCAAGCAACAGGATAAATCATTGAAATATTTTCCCGTTCCAAGAACTACACAATGATTATTCCCAATGAAGATGAAGCTGAGCATGAACTGAGTACCAATGTCAATATATTCTGAAGCAAACACAAGCGTGCTGGGCTTATTTAGGGAGCACGGTGTACGCAGAAGTACCACCGCTGCAAACCCTGACCCGCAAGTGCCGCGCCGACCCCAAAGGTAGCACTTGCAGCAGAAGAGGACATTTATCCAGAAGATTCTCTGTGTGCGTCGCTGTGTGGGCTTGAAGGCATGGTAGGAAGCGACCCCTGGGTCAGCAGCCGAACTACGGATCTCGACGCGCCCTTTTGCATACGGGCTTTTATTATTAGCACTAAGCCATGTGCGAAAGTCTGATCCTGGTGCTAGGTGCTCTGTGTGCATCGCTGGGTGGGCTCGACCCGAAGCGCCACCATAAATCTGTATCACAATTGCAATACCTTGTCCTGGTCCTCACCAAATTGCATGGCACCAAAAAAAATTCCAGATACCATTTTCAAGCCCTTGCGAAAAACTGAAGCACCAATATATCATGGAAGTACGGTAAACGGTTTTGAGATCGCTGAATGGCTATAATTGGAGATGATGTGGGAAGATGGCTACGGCGAAATTGATTATGTTCTTACAGGGTGGTACAGCTTCACCAGTGGCCTCCTTCCCGAGGCAGTTCCCTGCTATCCCCTGCTAGAGGGGCACCCTAAGCCATTCACCCCATCCGACTTCAGAGTGTACTCTTTGAGTTCGGCAACTCACCACCAGCATCCAACCAAATCTAGCGAATCAACGGTGCCACAACTTAGTTCCAGGCCAGCTCGCAAGCTGCTAATATCACGTCTTGTACCGTCCATAAGATGGGGGACCACCTCCCATTTCATCACCAGAGGGATTGGCAGGTGGATTCGAACCCGAACACTCCAGGAGCAGAAGTCAGACCTAGGTTGTTTTTTTTCAACCGCTAGCATGTACGGCTAGTGCTGTGAGTTGGTTCCCTGTCCCCCTTGCAATGATTGCATCCTAACCAGGGCGCCGATCATAGGCCAACCTAAAAAAATGTGAGACCTACAGGCCGGTAAAGATGGTGATACACCACCACCGCTACTGTCGTCGCCCTTCTTTGGGGAATCGGCGAATGCAGTGCTCGGTAGTCGCACTTTTGCACCCCGCGGGCCCGGGTACAGAATGGGCGGCTGCGTGCTTACCGCCCTTACACAGATGTATGCATACTCTAGGATCAAAGACAGCACCAATCTGGAGCCCACTGTAACAACCACACACACGAAACAAAATTTTGACCGCAAACTGTAAACCTAGCATTTCGAAAGCCTCCGAAACTTCAGTTCATCTTCCCCCATGGATGAGTCTTAGGGCAGGTCCCGGAATCTCGTTGCACTGTGAAGCTGCAACAATACACCTCAATACAGGATGTCATGTCGGTAAAAACGTTTGGCTCCAAGGTCTCAATGAGGAAAGAGGTGACGCCCATCCTGCACCCCATCAGGCTGGTCCGCACACACCGCCTTATGGCCCATGTATTGGCGTCCCTATGGCCCATGCAATCAGGTTTCATGTGCTGAGACAAACGAACCCCCGGCAATCCCAGCCAGGTCTGGGCGCGCTGCCTCAAGCGCCATCGTGCGCCGCTGCTATCCTCCAACGCACGTCTGCATCACGCCACCACTAGTCCTTAATTCACTCCGCCACGCGAAGGTCTATTGACCCCATGCTTCCCACAGTCCTAAGCGCACCCCATGATGCCTAAACAAAATGATAAATGGGCCTTTGCCTGCACTCCGACAAACAACCATCCGACAAACGACCTTACGTGCAACAGCTAAAAGCTTCCCATACCCCAAATGTCGTTAAAAAGCTTTAGCCCCAACGAAAACCGTTTGCCACAGTCCTGCAGAAGGATCTTGATGGCACCTCGGCAAATGTATGATGTTGTTACAGGGTGGTATAGCTTCACCAGCGGCCCCCATTCCCGAGGCAGTTCCCTGCTCTCCCCTGCTAGAGGGGCACCCTAATCCATCCGGGTTGCACCGCCAGCATCCAACCAAATCTAGCGGATCAACGGCGCCACAACTTAGTTCCTGGTCAGCTCGCAAATTGCTATAATCACGTCCTACACCGTCCACAAGATGGGGGCCCACCTCCCAATTCAACACCCCTCACACAACGAGAAGTCGGCAGGCGGATTTGGACCCGGAACCTCCGGGAGCAGAAGTCAGGCCTTAACTTCTGCCAGCCACCTGCCTAATGTATGTATGTATGTATGTAGGGTATGTATGTATGTAGGGTACGCAGTCCGGTAATGCGAACATGCGTTCACCAAAAAGGATAGGATAGCGCGGCTACGTGTTCAGCTTCACGATGTCGTAGTTGAGCTTAGTCGCAATTGTAACCCAAACCTGTGGTATGTTTGAAGGGAGGTAAGTCCGGGAGGGAAATGCGGGCCTCTTCATACAAGGGCCATGAGGCGGCTCAAGGGGCAGTCGAAGGCCCTAGCCGAAGCAACAGACATCCCAAGACGCATAATGGAAAATTATTACACTAGTAGTGGAGCTATCCGCACTCGGCATTCCGCATTTGTAACTTCTCGTTACCTGAGTTGGCAGCATGAGGAACGCGGCGGCAGGGCTGACGGGATGGAAGGCTGCAGCTGTGGCCGCAATGCTTGTCCAAAAGGCATACATCCAGGGAAGGCTGCCTTTCAGCTGCCGCTGGCCGAAAAACACCACTGGGGAATACAAAGTCACCAGGTCGACCCGGGCAGGAAGCAGCAAACTTTGATCACGCGCGCGGTGGGCAGGAAGCCTGTTCAACGATGAGGAGGTTAAAGGACAAAGCGTAAAATGAATATGCGGAGGACCGTGCTTGCGCTGTGACACACGGCTCTGTACGGTGCTGTAACCGGGGCTCCGAATCGACCCACGGGTCGGTGAGGTGAGATGGAAATGAGTTAAGAAGGCACTGCATGTTGGACGTTAACAACGCGGGCCAGGTTCGCCGCCATAGCAGCTGGCGCCAAAGCGGACGCAGGACTGAGCAAATATGTATTCATCGCAGCATAACAAGGCCCCCAAACCCAAGAATAACCAACGCACACACTCCACTCGCTTTCTCTGGGAACGCCGGCCGCCCGCCCGTCCACAAACCTTAGCAGTTTAAGCAGCTCCCTCCCTCACCGCTCCCGCTCCCTCCCTCACCACTCCCTCCCTCACCACTCCCTCCCTCACCGCTCCCTCCCTCACTGCCCCCTCCCTCACCGC